GAAATCTATGACAATCGTTTTCAAAAGATGCTTGTGCGTAGCCGAATTAAAATGTGTGATGAATGAATAATGCAGAGTTTCAGGATCTCTTAAACTTGGTAGTCATGATTAGTTTGCTTGTTTGGCCATTTTATTAATCCCTTTCTTGTTGCAAGTCCAATAAAAATATTTGAGTTGTCTTCACCCTATTTTGTTTAAGGCGATGAAGGTGGTAATTGAGTTTTCCCACAATGATATAAATAGAGCTGACATTTTCATTGAATTTCATATAGCTTTGCCTTCCTAAAAGGTGTTATCTAGGCACGAGGGGACTACCATTTCGACCTCGCCTAGGTCTTATCAACACGCCAGGCCGGAGTCTAACCATGATAGTTCAACGTACAATCTCCATACGCTAACCACTATGCTACAATGCCACGAATCCCCTTGGGCTACAGGGCAGATGCGAATTTCAAGAAAGATCATGAAAATAACAGGGCGAGAACTCATTTAGGGAAAGCAAGGCTATGTCAAATTCAATGGAAACGTCAGCTCTAATCATATTATTGTGGGAAAATTCAACTACAAATCCTTCATCACCTTAGACGAAACAGGGTCAATACATCTCATGTAACGGATTTACTGGTAGTCTCAAAAATAAAAAAACGGTGATGTCGAATGGGTGATACGAGGATATAGGATAAGTGAATACTACAGGGTAGAAGGAAAAATATCACAATTGTTTAGCAGACAATTGTTAAAGAATCAACTTCATTTGTCACTAAGACAAGTTGTAGTGTGGTGCTAAGAGTGGCAGGGCTCTCTGACGAGGCCGGCAAACCGTCTGGGAATGTGCTAAGTCTACGGTCCGACTCTGATAATTATCGTGCATATTCCTGACAATGTGCGTTTCTCTAGATCTTCCTGTCAATATGACCAAGTCGCGAAAGCATGACAACTGTTATTTATTTTTTCTCTATAATATAGCAAGCATTGGTCTGGGGCCGGGTATAAATTTACCTTTTATACTCGGGCTAATTTTAAAAAATGCATAACAGTTCATAACTTGGTATTCGTGCTGGGTTTGGCGATAAGGGACTTATTCAGATCGAGCTTACCAACCAAACCCTGTTGAGAAGCACTTCGTAATTCCATCTTTTTTTCTTAAACAGCCGCAATTGGCGTGATGTATCTCTATGGTCTGGGTGTTACTTCCGACTGGTGCTCAGCTTTATTATGCCTTTCTGATGCTTCTAGACGTGGCAGCATTCAAGCACAAGGCAACTTGGTCTATCTTTTCTACAAGCGCAAGCTTTACACACAGGCCGCTAATTTGGCCAGCAAGTAATATAATCTTATATTCGACTCTATAATAAATAAACTGAGGTTCTTACCTAAAACCTTATTCATGCGATAGTTTGATGTATTTACATATTGGTTCATTGATCTTATGAGCTGAGTCAGGCAACTCCATTATTATGGAAGTGGGTTGACCTCGTTGTCGCAACCTGGTCTTGTTGTCAGGGCGACTATGTAGAACGCACCTAGTCCAAAGTCGTCTGTCCTAGTAGTTGTCATGATTCCCAGCATCTGACAGTGGACTTGATTCATTCTAAAACGTTTCGCCGGCATCGTAGTCGGCATCATCAGTGAGCTTTGCCATTCTCCGCACCAAGATACGAACT